AAAGGAAGCTCCTAAATAGTTGACTCATAGACATGCTTTTAGGCAGGATTGGGTTTATTCTTGTTTTCCACACAATGGGGCCCCTAAACCCACATGGAGAGGACTACTTATAATAACCACAGTGTCTGTCAGTTAATCTGAAAGCTTTTTATCTCAAACACCAGCATGATCCTGCACACACACACAAACAAACAAGATTAGAGCTTAATGAGACAGTCTAATTTTGTCTGATGAAGCGAGCCTGGATTTTCTTGAGCATATTCTTTAGTCACTCAGTATGTGTGCATATGTGAACTCTTGAGTGTAAACCTTGTTATATGGGCAGTCTGTTTTTGAGAGTGATTGTTGTAACAGGAACAACACACCACATCTCCTTGGTGGGTTTTCCTTCTTTGAGTTTACTGTAAATGCTGGTGCTACTGACATGGTCTTGAATTTTAATGCATGTATTAATAACCATGTATCTGTATATATGTCATGCTCTTGTATAAATCATACATATTCTACCATTTGCGTATTGAACCACTGAGTGATTAACCCTACCAGACCTGAGGCCCTGAAATTAACTGTCCCCTATACCTGAGCTCCTGGGCATTAACACGAAAAAAAAAACATGATATACAGAAATATTAGTTACATGCAAACAAGTGGCTAGAATGAGATGAAACTTGGAGACATTGTAGAAAACAGGTTTACCCTTCATCTAGCGCCAATATTCCACCTTTGTGTGCCAGTCCACCTAGCAGGATCAGTCTTGTTTCACAAAGTGAGTACCAGATGTTGCTGTTTGAGGGACACGCCCTTCTCTTACTATCGATCTAGTTTTAAATCTATAATTTTCAAGATTCTCCTCATCACTGGAGCTCTCACTGACTGTGTCACTTCAACTGGGAATGTATTCTTCATGAAATTCTGACTCCTCAGAGTCTGAATCAACCAAAGTATCGATCACCTGTTTTGTTGGACTCTGAAAAGCCTAGACCTACTTCACTTTCCTGTCGAAGTGCCTGGTTCATCAGCTGCTAGTTTCATTGTGAATTTTCAGAATTTGTTTCACGTTAAACCACACAAAAGTGAATCCAAACACACATAGGCAGTCATTTGCAATAACTAACCACGAGGTTTGATCACGATTGGTTAGTTATTTTTCGTTTCTTGCGCGTTTTATCATGTAATGCGAAAAGTACCAAAAATTAGGTACAGCCGTTTAGCGACAGATTAGTAAATTGTAGGAACAGCGGTCTGGTAGAGTTAACACCCTTTGGCTCAAAGAAGCACTATTTGCATGAGAATCCCTGGCGTACAAATCCCAGAAAGAACCATTCAACCATGCCACAGTTTTACTGGAACACCTTATATTTACAAAGTAACCTGTTGTCCTATTGGGTTGGAGCATGAAGTGTTGTATCTAGCCATCTGTAAAATGCATGTGCACACAGAAACTCAAGTTCTGGAACCAGAGCAAATCTAGAAGTGGGCAGACAACCAGAATTTATGTTTTCAGCTGATGAATGCAAAGGGAAAAAAAAAACAGAGAGAACAAGACAGAAAAGAAATTGAAATTCTCAGTCGGGTACTAATCCATCCCCTTTCCCACACTTCCTAACTCCTGTTAACTTCTCACATATTTTGATATCAGAATTGTCTTTTTGTGATAGCTTTTATTAAATTTGCTTTTCTCCTGTTTGCTTTGCATATGATTGTTTAGCATTTGATTTTGTAGACATTGAAATAAAACATAACAGTAACAACTAGCTGTTAAATTATGTATGTGAGTATAATTATCTAAAATGTATATTGTACATATGTTATACACTTGGTGCAATAGTCGAATATTCATGAGCACACATATGTTACAACAACCTATTATATGTGTTTGTCTGTATATATACACACAGACACACACACACACACACACATATATATGTAAATATTTATTAATGTTGGTTGTTGTAATTTCTTTCCAGATTATAGTATTATTTTTGTGCCATACAAAGTCATTGCAATAACAGCCTTATGGTGATGGCGAGGTTGATTAGCAAGAGCCATTTATGTTAAAAAAGGTCTTCCCCAGTTGGGATTTAAGGACTGCAGTTGCGATTGCATATATTTAATGTGCTTCTCCTTAGATGCCCAACCTAATTTTGTAATTCAGGAATTAAATATGTACAGTCAGTAGTATAGGCAGCCAGTACACATCTGAATTTAGTGTTTCTAAACAAAAAACAGCCGTCTTGTCTTTCATGGGTCCTTAAGATATTGGGTTGGAGTTTGTTGACAATGAAGTGCTCAAGTCTGTGAAGAAAATACAGCCTAATCATGATCCGTTCATATGTGCTGTGGGGAATCATTCACTAGTTACATCCTAAAATGCCTCTCCCCCCCCCCCCCCCCCCCCCCCCCCCTTTTTTTTTTACACTTTATATCTCACCTATAACCCTAAGGGTTAAACAGGATATTTTTTTTTTTAGCCCATTGGCTCGGCGGTAGTTGACTTTGTCGCCGGTCAGGACAATATTTGGGTCTGTCTCCTTTGATTGCATCAGCACCACAGGAATCCTCTTTTGGGCTCTTGGTGGCGTTCAGTGCTAAGCCCTTTTATGTACCGCAATTAACCTAGCCACACAAATAAACGAAAACTCCCCCTTTGGGGGTGCTGACTGAACGTGACAATGCTTTTTGTTTTTTCCAGGTAAGCAACAGAATGGGATATTTTTCTGTGAAAATGACTACTACTTGTTTCACACACCCCATGTATTCCCAGTAAAGATGGTGCTTTGGTAGCTATTTGGGAGAAAGATTTAAACACCAGCAACGAATAATAATGCGACAGCTTAACATGTGACGACAAGAGAGGGTGGGGAACCTTGCCTTGGTTTGCAATAACAACAATAAAATTGTCACATTCCACCAGCATTCCTGAAGGGGGAGCTTTTAGTTATAATTGTGACTAGATTTATGTGTCGCCATATAAAAATGTCTTAGCATTGCTCGCCACCAAGTAGCCCTGAAAAGGACTGTTGCGTTGTTGATGCGATCAAAAGAGATAGACCAAAATACTGTCCTGACAGACGACGAAGTCGCTAATCGGCGACCCGGTCGATGATGGGCGGGATGCAGAGATGCTGAACTACATATGCTGGTGCAGCAGGACCAGGCACATACTGGTCAAGTTCTGCCTCCACCTCCCGCAGGACTAGGCACATACTGGTCAAGTTCTGCCTCCACCTCCCGCAGGACTAGGCACATACTGGTCAAGTTCTGCCTCCACCTCCCGCAGGACTAGGCACATACTGGTCAAGTTCTGCCTCCACCTCCCGCAGGACTAGGCACATACTGGTCAAGTTCTGCCTCCACCTCCCTGCAGGACCAGGCACATACTGGTCAAGTTCTGCCTCCACCTCCCCGCAGGACCAGGCACATACTGGTCAAGTTCTGCCTCCACCTCCCCGCAGGACCAGGCACATACTGGTCAAGTTCTGCCTCCACCTCCCGCAGGACTAGGCACATACTGGTCAAGTTCTGCCTCCACCTCCCGCAGGACTAGGCACATACTGGTCAAGCCCTGCCTCCACCTCCCGCAGGACCAGGCACATACTGGTCAAGCCCTGCCTCCACCTCCCCGTGGTCATGACAGAAACAGGTTTCCCTAGGAGTCAATGTTTTCTTTGATGGCTGAGTGTATCTGCCTAAAAGTGTGGAACCAACAGTCTGACACACAAAAAACCTGAACTGTAAAACAGATGTGCATGCAAAACTCAGGTTCTGGAACAAGACCAAAATCTAGAAGTGGATGAACAACCAAGACTTTCTGGCAAAGTTTACAGCCGGTGAAAAACTACAGTGAAAAGACGAAAAATGCAATGGTATGGACATGTAATAAGATCTAACGGCCTCTCAAAAAACAATGCTGCAGGTCTCAGTAGAGGAAAAGAGGAGAAGAGGCAAACCAAGAAAGACCTGGTTACAGAACCTGACTGGACAGACATCATGCATGCAATCATGAAGTCCATTGCCACTGACCACCAAAGGGGGAGAGAGCTGATCAGTCTACAGAAACTGGTGACCCAACGGCACGTAGTGTTACGAGATGATGATGATGATGAATGCAAAGAATAGTGTGAAAAGATAAGAGAAGACTAGATGGGTTACAGCAAATATTGCAACTTATTCTGAAGATGTTGCATCTCTATAGAAATTAATAAGTCACAGTCTCATCTCAAGAGACTATATTGAGACACATTAGACACAGTCTGAAGACACAAATAGAAAAACAAACCTGTATCACAGGGCACTATATTGAGACACATAAGTAATCTTACCACAAGATGCTATAGTGAGATACAAAAGACTGTCTGAACACATGACACGTATCATAGTGATACACATGACAGGCTCATCACAGAGTAATTTCTTTAATGAGATACATCAGTCTCATTCACAAGATATTTACACAGCAAGACACCTAAGACAATCTCAGCACTAGATACTGTCTCACCACTGGTCACCAACAATAGACAGAAAACAAGACAGTCTCATCACAAAGTACTTACTGTAATAAGATGCATAAGACAGTCTCATCTGTAGACACTGTCTCACTACCAGTCACCTACAGTAGTCAGACAAGACAGTCTTATCACACTTACCGTAATGGGATACGTAAGATAGTTTCATTCAAAAGACATTTACCACAGCAAAGTGCTTAAGACAGTCTGATCATTAGAAACTTGTCTCTTCACCAGTTGCACATAATAGAAGACAACAAGATGGTTTCATCACAAGACACTCAACATAGTGAATTCATAAGACATTCACTTCACAAGACACATACCTTGTGTAGTACCTAAGACAGTCTCTTTATTGTACACAAGAAAAGAAAACCAGTCTCTTATAAGACACCACAGTTGGACAAAAGAAATAGATACTATATGTGACTTCACAAGACACCACAGTTGGACAAAAGAAATATATACTATATGTGATGATCTTTGTTTTTGCAGATAGCAGACCTGGAAAAAAGCAAACAGAGCTCGGAGTCTCGGCTTGTTGAGGTTTGTGTTGTGAATGTTTGAACATATGTTTGTGTGAGATAAAAAATGCTTGTCGGAATCAGATTACTGAGCCCAAGCTTGACAATACAGTGCAGCATAACTAGCTCTCCGATGATGAGGATATTTCTGAATCAGTAATTTAGAAAATTGACATAAGTAACAAGAGAACTTTGTTATAAACATTTAGGAAATCCTTCATTTTAACACGCCAACTTTATCTTCTTATTCTTCTTTTTTGTTCACTGGCTGTAAGCTCTGGTGGAAAGTCCTGGTTGTTCATTGATTTGGACTTTGGCTTTGTGCCAGAGCCTCAGTTTTACTGGCTTATTTGTGTGCAGATGGTTGTTCCTTGTCGCTTGGGCAGATGCACTCTAACTTTAAAGGAAGAACCCGAATAGCTTGACACCTACAACATGCTTGTTGGAGAGGCATTGGGTCTATTATTCCCCCCCCCACCCCCCACAATGGGCCACTGAACCCACATGGGACAACAATATCTGAGATGAGTTAACATTGTATGCAAACAATAATCTGTAATATTCACTGACTTGCCAGGAGAAGAACCGTGTCACCCTGGCAAATGAAGAACGTAGATCTCTGGAGAATAGATTGGAGGCTGAGATGTCAAAGTAAGTCTCTCTTGACTTTTGTGTTTGTTTAAATCAAATGGTGTGTGTCAACGGTGGGACTGTGTACTGTTTTCAATAATATTACATAGCTTTTCTCTTGTTGGGAAACATCATGTGATAATCATATAAACATAAAGTAATCACATCTTGTGTTGGTGAAGATCATAAAGTGATAACTTCTGTTGATGAACAAAGTAAATTGATCTCAAGTTCTGTTATACATCATAAAGTAATCATATATTTTTTTGATGAATATCATGAAGTGGTCACATCTATAGTTGAACATCATAAAGTGATCAGCTCTTCTGTTGTTAAACATCATAAAGCGATCATCTCTTCTGCTTCAGAACATCACAAAGTCATCAAATCTTTCATTGCAGACCATCATAAACTGATCACCTATTATGTTGTATAAAGGCTCATTGTCAGTTCTCACAGAGTTTGGGCGCTTATAAAAGAAAGATTTAACAGCTCCTTTACACTTTTTATGTTTAAATTAAACAAGTTTAACAAGGAAATGCTCAGAAAACAAAATGTAGGTTAGCGTGAGTAAATCAGACTTGTAATAAGACAGAAATAATAAAGTGACTTGCCTTCATCCGCATATTGCTATCAGAGCAGAGTGGCCAGCTTTATTTGGAAGGTCACTGGTAGTGAGCATACTTTGGATCATTTCTTTAGGAAATGCTGGCCATGTCGTGAGGAATAAACAGGCAGACAGATTGGCTGCATCTGCAACACTGGGTGGTGAATTGATACATGAGGCAAATGTGGTCAAGGCCCTTTGGGAACAAGTAATAAAGTCAGAAGAGAAACTAGATTATTATGGCCTGGAGAGAATAACCAAAGGGTCTGGCAGGCTGACTACAGACTAAGAACGGTGCCATTAGTATTGTAACTCTGCACTGGCTGCTGAAGATGGGGATGGAGCGCATGTAGGAATTCCCAGTGGGCTGTTGATGTCAGTTCCTAACTCAATTCAACTTCATATCCTTCTTTTGCATTTGCTGGCTATAAACTTTGGCAAAAAGTCCTGACTTGTTGTCCATGTCTGAACTTTGGTTTTACATATCTGCCTCATAATATGTAGACTGTTGGTTCCTTGAATCTCAGACAGATCAACTCTGGCTCACAGGGGAATATTCCAGCTACAGCCCCTGGGAGGGAGCCTGTGTGTAGAATGACCACACAGATTTGTGGATAGATTTTGAACAGTGTGAGCCTTTGTCCTGCTGTACCAGTGATGGGGATGGTTCACCTCTTCCTAACAGGCCGTTATGATATGCACACATGTAGAGAACAGAATAACCAGGGACAGTGAGATTAAATATTTGGTACTTATCACAGTGACTTTGAATTTTGAATCTCAATGTTTTTGTGTTTCTGTTTCTTTTTCTTCTTCTTCGCATTCACCGGCTTCTAACTCCGGCAGATAAGTTCTGGCTATTTGTCCACTTCTGGACTTTAGTCCTGCTTCAGAACACATCCGTTTTACAGGTATTTACATACATTTGTATGCAAACTGTTGGTTTCTTGTCTCTCAGGCAGATGCACTCCGACTTTAAAGGAAGCTTCCAGTTAGTCACCTCTTACAACATGCTTTTGGGTAGGCAGTGGGTGGGTCTGTTCTTGTCTTCCCCCACAAGAGGACCCCAGAACCCACACAGGGAGTTTTTGTGTTTGAATATGCATGTCTGATTCAGTTTGTGTATAGTACCATCATATGATATGTTTATGATTAAGTTCTCCTGACATTTCTAGGAATCAACAATTACAGAAAGATGTCACTACTCTGAAAATGCATCTCAAGTCCACCAAAAATAAAATCAAAATGGCTGGGGCAACAGCTCAGGTTTGTACAGGCTTTTTTCTCTGATTGATTGAGTGATTGGTTGATCGTGTGATGTCAGTATTCTCGTAAAATTAATTGGAAGCATGAGAAGTATTCAACCCCACCTGAACCGTACAACAAGCGATCAACACCCATTGCCACCATTCAGAGAGAACCCCTTTGACACAAGTCCCAGAAACCCTGTTTAACCTTTAATTTATATAAGGACCCCCAATGACAGCTGGGGTGGGGCTTTGAAATAACCACACACAAAAATGCATCCCCTTATTTGGACAAAGTTTTAATTTTATTTGGTAGTAGGTGTGTAGGTAGTTGTACCCCACAAGGACATCGCACAAGCAATAAATACCCGGTGACACCATGCGGATGAGGATCACCCGTGGAGAGGTCCCAGAAACACCTTTCAGCCATTAAGCCCTTTCTATGGCTAGGCTATATCTTTGCCCCAGCTATACTCAGGGCCCCCAAAAGAAGCCAGGGTGGGACTTCAGATAACAACAAATTGCATCCCACATGGGAACAACTTACTATTTGGTAGTAACGAAGATACGGTTTTATAGAGAAATTACAAGAATTTCCTGCACAGATTTTTTTTTTAAAAGAGTAATGAAGATGTCTTGAAAGAAACTATGAAAGAGAACTGATGGCTGACATCAGAAGGAGACAACCTATATTCCTTGGTCATGGCATGAGAAGAAGAATAAAAAAGGCATGCAAATATAAACATGATGTATCGTCAACAGCTTCAAAATTAGGACTACTAATAGGTTATGAAAAAAAAAATTATATTAAAGATACCAACAACAGATCATGTAGATGTTGTGCTAGAGAACGAATAAAAAAAGCAACAGACCATTTCACCTTTTTTGGGTAGCGATTTTGACTCTCAAGGCGATACAAAGGAAATTATGATAACGCATTGCCAAAGCAACAACAGTCTTCAAAAGCCTGAACAAAATATGGAGCTCCGAGAAGGCTAAACTGCAAATCTTCACCTCTTACATTATTTAAATTCTAACATATGCCAGCGAAAATCGGAGATCCACCAAAGATATGGAACGAAAGTTGAATGCATTTGAAAATAAATGTCTGTCGTATGCTGATGAATGTTATCTAGCTCCATCATTCAGTTTGTCGCTCGTGATTGTAGTTTTATGATGCTGACTTCCAAGAGAGATCTTTCGAGACAGCAGTTTCAGGATGTTCACTCTACAAAATACTTTTGGTAAGGTGCTGGAGAAGATAATCGCTGTTAAAATGCAAACATTTTTGTAAAGGGAAGAGCTTCTGCCAAGAGGTTTGAGAAGTTACTGGCCAGGGAAAGATACCTGGTCAAATGCAGCTACTTTTGCTTTTGATGTTTGTGAGGGTTCCATAACAACCAGGAGATGTTGGTGGCAGCACTTGATCTTGTGGATGTCAGTAGAGTCAGATATGATATGTTGATGTCTGCTGTCATGGAGAAGGGCTGACTGGTAAACTAGATAGCAGCTGTCCCACATTCACAAATGGTTGCCCTTCACCTGGGTACATGGACCTCAGAACCATTCAGTATCACCCTGTGACTACCCCAGGGTTCTGCAGTTTTACCAGTGCTCTTCAATGTGTATACAAGCAAGATTATAGAACTTTAAGCACCAGAGGTTGGAAGGATATTGACATTTGCAGATGATGTTCTTGCATATAGGCAGGGGAGCGATAGGCAACAGACAGCCCAAGAGCTACTGGCAACTGTAGACAAATTAACTGACTGATGTGCAGAAATGGGTGCTGTCATCAACTCAGAACTTTGAATTGAAGGGTCACCTTAGGGGTTCCAGAGCCCTGTTTTGGTGGGAAATAGAACAGACATACTGCCCCCCTTACAGGCATGTGGTAAAAAAATGACTTACTAGGGGTGTTTCCTTCAAAGTCAGAGTGTATTTGCTGGAGAGCTGAGGAAACTACAGTCTGCAAACAAATAAGCAAGATCTATAAAAGGGATCTGCACATGCAAAACTCAGTTTGGAACAAAACTAGGGTCCAGAAGTGGATGAACAACCTGAACTTTCTGCTGGAGTTTACAGTTAGGGAATGCTAAGAAGACGAAAAAGTTGAAGAATTGAATGGTACATTTTTAGAATCAAATATTGTCTTACAATTGTACTTAAAATAAATGTAAAATCTTAAAATTTACTGTCTGGTATTTGTTAATGGGCTAATTTGCTAATGGATGATGTGTGTTTGTGTGACAAAAACGGATCACTAGGATTTGAATGGATCTGGACATGATGGCAGTCTGACCAAAGATTACAAAGCCAGTGACATTCATCAGGTAGTTCTAGTAGTCTGCTTGTTCTTCTTGTGATGGTGTCTATTACAAGTTGCTTGTAGAAGTTACATATTAGAAGTTTGATTTTTCTTCTTGTGATGGTGTCTATTACAAGTTGCTTGTAGAAGTTACATAATTAGAAATTTGATTTTTCTTCTTGTGATGGTGTCTATTACAAGTTGCTTGTAGAAGTTACATAATTAGAAGTTTGATTTTTCTTCTTGTGATGGTGTCTATTACAAGTTGCTTGTAGAAGTTACATAATTAGAAGTTTGATTTTTCTTCTTGTGATGGTGTCTATTACAAGTTGCTTGTAGAAGTTACATAATTAGAAGTTTGATTTTTCTTCTTGTGATGGTGTCTATTACAAGTTGCTTGTAGAAGTTACATAATTAGAAGTTTGATTTTTCTTCTTGTGATGGTGTCTATCACAAGTTACTTGTAGAAGTTACATAATTAGAAGTTTGATTTTTCTTCTTGTGATGGTGTCTATTACAAGTTGCTTGTAGAAGTTACATAATTAGAAGTTTGATTTTTCTTCTTGTGATGGTGTCTATTACAAGTTGCTTGTAGAAGTTACATAATTAGAAGTTTGATTTTTCTTCTTGTGATGGTGTCTATTACAAGTTGCTTGTAGAAGTTACATAATTAGAAGTTTGATTTTTCTTCTTGTGATGGTGTCTATTACAAGTTGCTTGTAGAAGTTACATAATTAGAAGTTTGATTTTTCTTCTTGTGATGGTGTCTATCACAAGTTACTTGTAGAAGTTACATAATTAGAAGTTTGATTTTTCTTCTTGTGATGGTGTCTATTACAAGTTGCTTGTAGAAGTTACATAATTAGAAGTTTGATTTTTCTTCTTGTGATGGTGTCTATTACAAGTTGCTTGTAGAAGTTACATAATTAGAAGTTTGATTTTTCTTCTTGTGATGGTGTCTATTACAAGTTGCTTGTAGAAGTTACATAATTAGAAGTTTGATTTTTCTTCTTGTGATGGTGTCTATTACAAGTTGCTTGTAGAAGTTACATAATTAGAAGTTTGATTTTTCTTCTTGTGATGGTGTCCTATTACAAGTTGCTTGTAGAAGTTACATAATTAGAAGTTTGATTTTTCTTCTTGTGATGGTGTCTATTACAAGTTGCTTGTAGAAGTTACATAATTAGAAGTTTGATTTTTCTTCTTGTGATGGTGTCTATTACAAGTTGCTTGTAGAAGTTACATAATTAGAAGTTTGATTTTTCTTCTTGTGATGGTGTCTATTACAAGTTGCTTGTAGAAGTTACAAAATTAGAAGTTTGATTTTTCTTCTTGTGATGGTGTCTATTACAAGTTGCTTGTAAGAGTTACATAATTAGAAGTTTGATTTTTCTTCTTGTAATTATGTAAATTGCTCATTGCTCGTAGAAGTCAGATTGTTAAAAGTCTGATTCTCCATCTTTCACACGCATTTGTTACAAGTTGCTTGTAAAAGTCACATCATTAGAAGTTTGTTCCTCTTTTTTTCTCTCGGTCACATCCATTGGCAGGAGCGTGTAAAAGTCACATGTTTAACCACAAAGTATTTTTGTTGTTTTTGGTATATTGGTATTATTATATGTTCAGTCAGTTAGTTGCAGTTTTTATCACCTTGGTATTATGCTTCATCTTTGCTTGTAGTTACTAAAACTGTGCTGAAGTTTTTTTTTATCATGGGTGGTATTTAGTCTCATATTTGGTTGTTAATTAGGTACTGATCACAAGAATCACCCCATCTCGTTTGCGCACAGGATTTTGTGCCAGCTCTGTTTTCTGTGAATGGTAGATCTCAGGCACCCTAGACTACAGGAGTGTCCTGAGAAATCCCCTACAAAATCACACAGCTGAGATGGGGTGACTTTCGTGATTGGTACCATTGATTTTTGTTTCAGTTCGCAGCATCAGAGATTTTTTTTTTTTTTAAATCTCGTCCTGTATTTGTTTTTTAACTAGCTATTTGGTAGCTTATCTGTGGTATCTCATCTCACATTTGGTTGTAGAGAAAGTTTTAAAATTGGACAAATTATGTTTGCTATCTCATCTCATTGCTTTCAGTTGTTTGACTTGTGTTATAGTGTTACCTGATGTGCCTTTATATCATTGCACATAAAGTTTCTAAAAGTAGATAACCCGAGCGGGTTCTGGGTCCTCTCTATGGGGCAAAAACAAATTAGACCCACTTTCCCCCTAACAGGCATTTCATATCACTTAACTTACAAGCAGTGTTTCCTCAACTGAGAGGTGTGGAACCAACAGTTTGTATACAGATAAACCAGATCTGTAAAACAGATATGCATGCAGAACTCAAGTTCTGTAACAAGACTAAAGTCCAGAAGGGGATGAACATCCAGAACTTTCTATTGGAGTTCTCAGCTGGTGGACACTAAGAAGAAAAAGAACAGAGACAATATTTACATTCTGTAACTAAATTTATTATCTTTTTAATATTATTGCTGTCTTCATTTCTACTTTATAAGTTTAAGTACAGTAACTTCATTTAACCGTTTATTTATTAATATCTATTTTTCAAGTTTTTAGACATGATTTAGCTTCAGTAGTTTTCAGAATGCTTTTATTTTTCAAAAATCAGTAATAATACAAAAATCAGTAATAATACAAAAATCAGTAATAATACAAAAATCAGTAATAATACAAAAGTCAGTAATAATATAATCATTTAAACCAGTGTTCTTCAACTCACGGGCTGTAGAAAAATCCAGATGCAATACAGGCATACAGTTTCTGCCTAATCATGTTAGAATGGTTTAGGACATGTGGTTTTTCTCTTCCTGGACTGCAATCTTCAGGATTATCACCTCAAAGATGAGAATTAAACAGGTACAAGGGATATTTAACACAGGTCAGCATTTAAAGACAGCTGAAAACGTTTACAATTATCCCCCCCGTAAATGAGGATCCTTGCAAAGGCAACTATTTGATTAACAATCCCTTCTTGGAAGATATAATGTCATGGGCACTTGATTATCATGAAAGAGAAAAGTGGATCGAGTTGTCTTCTGATGTCAGTCTTATTCCAGACATAAAATGTAATCGATGTCTGAGTTTTGAATATTACTTGAAAAAGAATATTTATGTCTGAGTTATAGAGCTATCAGATTGTTGGTCGTATGTTTCGACTTCATATTTATGTGAAAAGACTTTCTGTCATATCAGTAATTAAAAACCAAAACTGAGAAATCAAATTAATGTTATTGCAGTGCTTCATCTATCAAAATAAAGTGCTAGCCATATAAATCAGATTTTCTAAGCAGTAGATGTCACATTAGCTGAAAATTTTCATATTTTGACATCAGATTTGTGTAAGAAATAAACTGCTATCTAGATTTGTTTGTGTGTTTGGTTAGCTGTCACATGGGTCGGGTTAGCTGTCACGTGGGTCGGGTTAGCTGTCACATGGGTCGGGTTAGCTGTCACATGGGTCAGGTAAGCTGTCACATGGATCGGGCTAGCTGTCACATGGATCGTGAAACAATTGTCCCTGTTTTAGTGGGCCTCAGGTGTAAACAAGGTTAAGGAACACTGATTTCAACTGTAGCACTTTCAAGTTAGTTCCTTGTCATACTTCACACTTTTGCCAGTAACTCTCTGTGACAACTTAACAAGATCATACTAATGCCAGTATTTTCATCTAATGACTTCATACCTTTGCCACTTCTTCTCTTCGACAACCTACACATTTGTCAGCATTCATACCATTGTGAAAAAATTTCTAAAATCTTTTCTTTGAAACCTTTCCATCATTGTCACATTAGAGATAATATCCTCTGCGTTATTGAATCGCTACGTGTTAGTGTCCACTTGAGACCACATAATTCTGATTTTAAAAGAAGCCTGGCTGTTCTGGGTTTGGAGGAATTCATGAAGGATTTCCAGAACAGTTGTATTGTGTATTATATCACATTGTCCTAGCCAAATGCGGAAGTTACCGGACTCCGTTGATGTCTGATACTGAATTAAGACTCATCACAGCATTTGTGACATTCCCATAAGCGTTCTGTCCCAATCTTCAGCAGCAAGCACAGAGTTCCAATTCTGATAGTACCAGGAGCAGTCTGTATATCATCCTCACCTTTCCCTTGAGTGTTGATCGTCGGCCAGATCCCCTGGTGACTCCTCGTAGGGCCGTTCTCTTTAGACCCTGATTATCCATCTGTGCCTCCATAGAGTTCACTTGCCACCCAAAGAGCCCTTGAAACATCTATCTTGTCATGCATCAAATCACCACCAAGTTGTGAGTGTATTACTGAGACTCCATACTCTCAAGACAGGACTTCTGGCTATTCCCCAGTTTGAGTCAACAGAAACCATTTATGCAGTTTGTAACTACCATTCTGTACTCCTGTCCCCAAAGAACTTTCTTGAAATTTTTTCAACAATAGCTGGGTTGGGGAGAAAAGTTTGTGCTTTCCCAAAGAGAGACTGTTTGAAAGGAATTAGATTTAAACCTCTAAGTGAGTAATTATATATTTTTGCCGGCCACAGGTCAGGTACTTTTTTTCTTTCCCATCAGAGTCCTTGTCTCATTATGGTGACAGCCTACCATCAAGGCCATTGTTAATGTGATCATGAAAGTAAACTAAATGTTCCCATTACTCTTGTTCAGACAAGGTTTGCAGCATCAGAAGGAGATCTCAGGGCAGAACTGGAGGCCAAATATCGACAGGAACTCAACCGTAAGCTGGAGGATGTCAACAGGTTTCTTGACTCACAGTCGCAGCTCCGAGACAGATTAGATACTTCTAGAACAGAAGTTGAAGTCCGCTTGATGTACGACAAAAGAAAACTGGAGGTAAAGCCTAAATGTGTGTACCAGTTTATACATTTGTACAGACACATTTATAGATAACTATGTACACTTTTGTCTTGGCAAGTTAGTTGAGAGCTGTGTATGTACAGTTTTATTTGTCTGTAATTTATAGCTGTTTGGACACACAATATATATTGTATGCACATATGTATAAGTGCACATTTAAATGTCTGTGTCAGATTTCAGAATGGGGGCCAGAGTCAAAGAATTGAATCTTTCTTCATATTATAAGTTTTGACAAAAGATTTGCAATGTACATGTTATATTTTTATGTTTCAGCGAGAGATTTATATATTTTCCATATTTCAAGAGGATATGATATAAAAGTATATTTTTCATGTTTCATTAGGTGCTTCAGCATGTAAAAGTTAATGTTTGTCATGTTTCAGCTGTAGATTCACAATATAATTAATATGTTTTGTGTTCAATCAGAAGAGTCACCATGTAAATGTTATAGATTTCATGTTTCAGGAGGAGATACACAGCCTGAAAGTGAAGTTTGAGCAAGCTGTGTCTCAGAGAGAGACACTGGAAATGGAAGCAAACCGTTTCAGAGAACTTTATGAGTCCGAGATGAAATGGAGAATTAGGATCAGTGACCAACTGCAGTTGGCAACAGAGAAGAGCTCCAATCTCAAGTCAAAGTTAAAGTAAGTTTCCATCTACGAAAATCTGGTTGTGAAGATCATCATGACTTCCTTCTTCTATCTAGATCCTGTTCTGCCTGTCAGCATCCGATTTTAAAGAGGCATCCGGTTTGAGCGTCGACCTCTGCTAAATAGATGCTGGTATTCACAGCCTCAGATATTCCATCTATCCGTCACTTGTGTGAGCAACATCTAGCTCTGCATCAAGCAACATCTAGCTCTGCTTCAAGCAACATCTAGCTCTGCTTCAAGCAACATCTAGCTCTGCTTCAAGCAACATCTAGCTCTGCTTCAAGCAACATCTAGCTCTGCTTCAAGCAACATCTAGCTCTGCTTCAAGCAACATCTAGCTCTGCTTCAATGATATCTAAGTGACAGGGCTCTCTGTGGTGCACATTTCTGTGGCAGTCTTGACACACGTTCAAACCATTTGACCTTTATGACCTTACATTGTTGAGTGTTGGTTCTGTTCTCATTTGTTTCCTGATATCGTTATTTCCGATTCTGTTCCTCTTATATAATTTAAGACATTTTATTTCTGCTGGATTTTGATTTTTTCCTTATTCCTTTTATTGTTAATGTTTGGGACAGTACCACGTCATTGAATCCCCCCCCCCCCCCTAAAGTATATATATATATATATTGTATGAATATGTTCTTGGTATAAGTTGTTAATGTCATAATCATCTCTTGTGATTGATACGCTTTTGTGTGAAGGAGAAATTCTCATCTAACTCTTTTGCCCTGTGAAAAAAATTTTAAATGTCCTTTTTCAAAAGTTATGTAAGAAAAAAAATGCATCTGTGTAATTCTCTACACTTTACCTTGAGAAACTAGAGTAACTAAAACAGTTACTAATGAGAAACTAGAGTAACTAAAACAGTTAATAATGAGAAACTAGAGTAACTAAAACAGTTACTAATGAGAAACTAGAGTAACTAAAACAGTTACTAATGAGAAACTGGAGTAACTAAAACAGTTACTAATGAGAAACTAGAGTAACTAAAACAGTTACTAATGAGAAACTAGAGTAACTAAAACAGTTACTAATGAGAAACTAGAGTAACTAAAACAGTTACTAATGAGAAAGTAGAGTAACTAAAACAGTTACTAATGAGAAACTAGAGTAACTAAAACAGTTACTAATGAGAAACTAGAGTAACTAAAACAGTTACTAATGAGAAACTAGAGTAACTAAAACAGTTACTAATGAGAAACTAGAGTAACTAAAACAGTTACTAATAAGAAAGTAGAGTAACTAAAACAGTTACTAATGAGAAACTAGAGTAACTAAAACAGTTACTAATGAGAAACTAGAGTAACTAAAACAGTTACTAATGAGAAACTAGAGTAACTAAAACAGTTACTAATGAGAAACTAGAGTAACTAAAACAGTTACTAATAAACAAAAAAACATTCATTCATTAACTGGTGCTTGCACACAATAGAGGGATGTTTATGCTCATTCGACGGATCAACATCATGGCATACAGGTGTAACCCGTAAGTGCTCCGCTCTACTTTTAACTCAAGATTGAGTCTGAAGTATCTCGGTGCAGTGCATGAATTCCGTTGCACCGGCAAGGACCCTGAAATACTTTTGGTAAATTTGTAATGCCAAATTTTGCCCGGGCAGCGCCATTAGGCTACACTTTTTTTAAATTTCTAACTGCCAAGGTATTTTACATGGGCCTATAGTCTTACCAGCCAGAGACCAGGGGGAATTACTAGAAGTCAACGGGAAAAAACCCAGCCTTCCCCGGGGTTGAACCCAGAACCTCCAGCACTCGAGGCGGATGCCATACCTCGAGACCATTCACCCCCCCCCCCCCCCCCAGTAGAAGGAGTTAAATGGTATGATAGAATCTTACTGTTGAGCTTTGGGAGAGAACTAAACAAGTTCCATTGGACCAACTGGTGAAGAAAAGATGCTGGCATAAGATAGGACATATGCTGAGAAAACCTGCGAACAGCACAACTAGAAAACCTTTGAACTGGAACCCACAGAGGCATAGCAATAAACTCAGACCAAAAAATATATGAAGAAGGGAGATAGATAGTAAAGTTAAAAAAGATGGGGAGGAAGGACATGTAGTTAGCTGCATGGGTTCTTAATTTATAATGTACCCCAAACACGAAATTTCCGTGGGAAATCCACAGCTGACCTGACAGTCCATTATTTCAAGGGGTGCAAGTGTGCTGTTGTGTGGTGGGTTTTTGAGTGTTCATCTAGTGTATTCTAACCCTAACCCTAACCCTAACCCTAACCCAAACCCTAAACTTGGCTGTAGATAAATCGCGAGAAACTACAACCTGAAAACCCTAGAATTTATTGGGAATGTCTCCCGTGACGTAGTCGTGACGTCAGGGGTAAGTTATAAATTAAGTACCGCTGCATGCTATAGGGAAGGATAGAACAGCTTGGCATGAGTTGGGGACCTAAGCTCCAAGGGGGATGGAAGGCAGAAGAAGAAGATGTAAAAAATGATTTATTTTTTTTAAACACAACTTAAATGGAAACATGAACCTGATAATTAACATTTGATCTAACATATTTACAGCAACGAGCGAGTCCATCGCAACCATCTCACAGACAGCATCGGCAACCTCAACAGTTCAATCGTCAGTAACAACAACTTTGACCTCGGCAGGATAAATGGCTTCCATGATGATGAGCTGAGCAGTAGGATCAAAGCTGAACTAGACCGCAGCATAGCAAAACATCTGGAAGCTGGTAAGTGCCTAGTCAGATGGCACATAGACATTTGTTAGCTTTCTTTCCAGTCTCTGGCTTATATGTTGGCTTTCTTGCCAGTCTCTGGCTGATATTTGTTAGCTCACTTGCTAGAATCTGTCTGATATTTGTTAGCTTTCTTACTAGAATCTGTCTGATATTTGTTAGCTTTCTTACTAGAATCTGTCTGATATTTGTTAGCTTTCTTACTAGAATCTGTCTGATATTTGTTAGCTTTCTTACTAGAATCTGTCTGATATTTGTTAGCTTTCTTACTAGAATCTGTCTGATATTTTTTAGCTCACTTGCCAAAATCTGTCTGATATTTGTTAGCTTTCTTGTCAGAATCTGTCTGATATTTGTTTACTTTCTTGCTAGAATCTGTCTGATATTTGTTTACTTTCTTGCCAGAATCTGTCTGATATTTGTTAGCTTTCTTGCCAGAATCTGTCTGATTTTTGTTGGCTTTCTTGCCAGAATCTGTCTTATATTTGTTAGCTTTCTTGCCAGAATCTGTTTGATATTTGTTAGCTTTCTTGCCAGAATCTGTTTGATATTTGTTAGCTTTCTTGCCAGAATCTGGGTAAAATTAGTTAGCTTTCTTGCCAGAATCTGGGTAAAATTAGTTAGCTTTCTTGCCAGAATCTGGGTAAAATTAGTTAGCTTTCTTGCCAGAATCTAGGTAAAATTAGTTAGCTTTCTTGCCAAAATTTGGATATAATTAGTTAGCTCTCTTGCCAAAATTTGGATAAAATTAGTTAGCTCTCTTGCCAAAATGTGGGTAAAATTAGTTAGCTTTCTTGCCAGAATCTGGGTAAAATTAGTTAGCTTTCTTGCCAGAATCTGGGTAAAATTAGTTAGCTTTCTTGCCAGAATCTGGCTTGAAATATTAATAAACTTATTTTTGTCTTGTCTTTCCGCTCACTGATAAATTATCAGAACAACTGTTGTTTTCTCTTTTCTGAATAAGACCAAATGATATTAACTTTACTTCACATAGGTAACTTTGTTTACTCAACTGTAACCATTTAACTTAACTTTATATACTTTATTTACTTAACTTTACATACTTAACTTTACTTACTTAACTTCTCATACTTAAATTTACATACTTTACTTACTTAACTTTACATAATATACATACTTCACTTCACTTACTGTGCTTCATATAATTGTTTAGATGTGAGCTTTTTTTGTAATTTTGAATGTATTCCACGTGCATGGATATTTTAGCAACCAGTGGATTTCATCCATAAAGCTGAGTCTTCTTTTTCACTTCCTCTTTTACCACTTTGAGTGTCAAGGCTCTGCTTCTTGCTCTTCTGGTCGCCTCGACCATAGATACCTCGTGCTGTTGTAGAGTTTCTCTGTTATTCTCTCTCCATGTTCTTCTTGATCTACCTCATGATCTAGGTCCTTCTCTCTTCTTTTGTGTGTGTGTGTGTATGCCTTGTATGGTAGGGTGTCACAAGGCACTCTCTCTATGTGGGCAAATCGCTTGATCTTCTTGCTGTCTTTGTATGTAATTTAGAATTGGTTCTGTGTCAACTTTTTCTCTTACAACCTCATTGCTGATTTTATTTATTCTGGTCGCTCCTGCAGCCCTTTTCCAACGTCTCATGTCTGTGGTTACTTATTATCTTTTATGGTTTGTTGTGAGCCACCATGTCTGGCACTGGTAGTATAGGGTGGGAATGAATATGCTTTGTATGAGATGTAAAAGCCAACTGATTATATTTAATCCGTTATGTTGCTGTATCTAAAACGGGATGAATTCAAGAGGGGTGAAGAAATTAGAGAAATGTCTGGGCAACAACTAGTATCAATAGTTATAAGACAGAGAAGATGGCCCTATATTGAACACATTCTGAGCAGAGACGAACAGAGAATCACCAAACAGGCACTGAAATGGGAAATTTTAGGGATTGAGGAAACAAGGACAGCCAAAGAAACCCTAATGTAAACGTTGATAAGGAAGCCAAAGGTGCTGGACTGGATTCCATACATGATATATAAGTCATTGCACAAGATAGAACAGAATGGAGGAATAAACTGCAAGCTCTGTGTAACATAATGGCACAGCAGGACAGTCAGTCCAATGTAGCTGTATCATTGTCTGTGTTTTCCTATGCTGATGAAGGCTTTCTAGTCACAATATTCATCATCTTTCATAATGGTATTCTATTAGGAAAATGACAAGCTCTACTTCTCTTTCAGTTTGCTTTTAACACTCTAATGTTGAATATCATTTTAGCCATTATATATCAGGTGAAAACTTAAAATGTATCAAATAATATACAATTAACGTTGTGTCTGTGTCTCACCTTTGTCTGCTAATTATTCTTCGGTAGCTCCTCATGACTTCAGGCCAGTGCTGAGACCAGTGAAGGAGCCAGTTCGACTGACTTCAACTCTCACCCAGTCCACTCAGGATTACATTGACATCCTCAAAAGGAAATATCATGTTTAGGTATTTAACATGCCTTCACAGATGTCAGCAGTTTTGTCATTATACTTGGCTACAGACAAGGAGTATTATGTTGTCACCATGCTGAAACAATCTCAGACACAGAGACAACTGTAGACAAGAAGGCAACAGTAGAAAAGAACTATAAATTAATGATAAATCAGTATTATGTTGGAAGCTTGAGGAAGACTTGATAGAATCGCAAACTTAGAGCTTTGGGAGAGAACTAAAACAAGTTCCAGCGGACCAAGAGGTAAAAAAAAAATGCTGGCATTGGATAGGTCACACTTTGAGAAAACCTGAGAACAAAATAACTAGAATGACTTTGCCGTGGAATCCACAGGGACATATAAATAAAGGAAGACCCAAAAACACATGAAGAAGGGAGCTAGAGAGAAGTTAAAAACATGGGGAGTACATAGGGAGAGATGCATGCAATAGTGAAGGATAGAACAACTTGGCATGAGTTGGTTGCAGGCCTATGCTCCATTGGGGGTTAGAAAGGCAGAAGAGGTGAGGAAGACTATGCAACTTCTGGATTAATAACATCTTCAATGACAGAGGCTGACATAAGCTATTGAAGCCACCTGATACTACCACATAAACTGCAGCTCCTACAACACATTGTGGCAGGGCCAATATCACAGGGAATAGCTACAGAGTGTCCTGTAGGTTTGTGCACATAGGACAAATAAACATACCATTGCCATTATAAGCATAACTCCAGCCGTACTCTTATAAGTGTTCATCAGCAGTGAGGGACAGGCATCAAAATTTGTTTTTTAAAACAATATTTTTGCTTTGTATGGAAAATTATGGGGAACCGTATACGGCAGTGTTTCCCAAATTTGTCTTAGTCATGGCGCCTTTTTTCAATTAAAATTTTTCAACGGCGCTGCTAACCTAAGTGAAAGTATGACTATTCCTATGTAAAAGATTGAAAAAAAAATACACTCGTGTATCCTCAAATATTTTGTGGCGCCCCTGTGAAGAGGTCGCAGCATCCCTGTGAAGAGGTCACAGCGCCCCTGTGAAAAGGTTACGGCTCCCCGGCGCACAGTTTGGGAATCACTGGTGTATGTTATTGACCATGAGTGGCTGATTTAAGTTATGAGGATAATTTAATGAGGGGTCACCATTACACTATCCTTGACTGAACTGAACAACTGGGCAAATAATGACACTTGAATTAAAAATCAGTACTGTATTGTCCTGGTGCTGTACAAATCTAGACAGGAAGTTACCTTTTTTTCCTTTAAACTAAGTTTACTCAGGAGTCAAAATCTTGGAAATTGTGATCGTCATGGGCCAAAGGCCTGAGACCCAGCATAGAAAGATCATTAATACAATACAATTGGCAATGATCTACGGGCCACTTACTAGGCCTCTTCGAGCCAGATTTAGCCAGCATGCTGACAGTTCAATAACCCTGCTCTAGACCCTGTTCTGCCTTTTAGTATCAGGATTTGAAAAGGCATCTGGTACGAGCCTCAGTGTGTGCTACATAGATGCTGGTATTTATGGCCTCAGATATTCCATCTATCCATCCCTTGCGAGCTCTAGCTCTGCTTCTGTTGTGTCTAAGTGACAGGGCTCTCTGTGGTGCACTGTCTTGTGATAGTCTTGACACATGTCTGAACCATTTGATCTGTTTTTTGCTTTATTTAATGAGAAGTCACGGTTACATTATCTTCGACTCAACAACTGTAGATAAGGAGTGACCAAGACAGATTATAATGAGAGGCCAGCATTATGTTGTTCTATGTTTAAAAAAATCTGTGTATTTTTTTTGTGTGCTTGCAACATCAACAAAGCACAGTTAGAGCTTGGTATTATTTTATCTCTTCATGACCTAATCAAAAAATGCCGTCCAGACTACACACTGTATGTGTAAGTTTCAGTTTTATTTGAACATATTCTATTAGTTTACACTTGTATACTTGAATCTAGAGTTGTGTTTCATTTATTACATTTATATGCATAATTTTGTTTACACTTTTATATTCAACTGCCTTATATTTTTGGGTCCTTGTTCCATTGGATGTTTTACTGCATGTAAACTTGAGTATATGCTCTGTATGAGACAGCAGACTGAGTCATTGCAAACCTCATGTGTGCAAGGAGTTACCTTCATCTTTGTCCCAGGGCATGTAGGAATCAGTGACATTGTCAGTTATATGGCAGGAATTGGTGCCATCTGTAAGTCATGCAGCAGGAATTGGTGATACTTATCAGTCATCCAGCAGGTATAGTGACACCTGTCAGTCATGCAACAGGAATCAATGACACCTGTCAGTCATAATGCAGGAAGTTTTTGACTGCCACAAGTGACCTTCCCTTACATGCAAGTAATTTCGAGTTTCTTACTTGACGGAAGCTTGCTTACACAGGTGATTGTTTTCACCATTTGCGTCTGTATTGGAAAAGTCAGATTGAACCTAGACTGGCTAGGATTTAGCTTAAATTGGTCATGATTTAATGTAGAACATACAGACCGGCTAGGATTGAGCCTAGGTGGGTCACAATTTTTTTTTTTCAGCACATAGAGACTGAATGAGATTAGGTCCAGCTTGGTCATGTTTCCTCCACAGACTTTGAGTATTTCAATATCAGATTTAACTCTTTGAGTCCCAGGGGGTTTAGCATCCCAGGCCCAAGGGGTAGTCAAGAGACGTAAAATCGGCGCATCATGCGTTCATTGGGCCTCTAGGTTGGAATCTGTGAAGGTATGATACTTTCCTTGGGACTCAAAGAGCTAAACCACATCGAATTAAATTTGTTTTTCATAAAAGACCATTGGCTCTCAGGTCGACCCAGGGTACCGGCTAATGTCCTGGGAAGTAAAAGTGGCCAGTTTGATGTTGACCACACCACCCAATAGGGGGGGCCAATTGGCCTATATTAAATATGAGTCTAGAACTATGCTTGCTGTGCCATTGTCATGAAAAGGATGTTTACCTACACATCAGACTCCAATGCAGCAGTCTGAATTTCAGGCATAATAATCTTTGCCACACCCTTGTTAGTAAATAGCTATCAAACTGGTTGTGATTTTATTCAAAAACAAAATGACCTTCTCCTCACGTTTGTAATATCTGTCTGTTGGTTTAATTTCTTCCTGGCCACTGTTTCTGTACTGAAACAAAAACCAGATGAATCTAAGAACCAAACTTGAGAGATGTGACTTTGATATTACAAACTTGGTATCAATCTTTTACACTGACAAAGTTGCCCAACGTGAGTTGTTACTGTGTGTATGATGTGCGTCCATTGTTTTTTTGTTTTTTTAAATAAACATTTTATTCACATATATAAACCTCATATAAAAGGGTTGTAGTCCATTCCTTACTCTGTGGTAATCATGTATTTGAAAGGAAATATATTGCAATAAATATCACACATTTTCCACTTGGTTGATACTAATTATGTGTGTATGTCCATTCACTAATCAGTTGTGCATACATGTATGCATGTGTGAATGTCCATCCACTGATCAGTCATGTATGTACGCATGTGTGAATGTCCATCCACTGATCAGTCATGTATGTACGCATGTGTGAATGTCCATCCACTGATCAGTCATGTATGTGTGAATGTCCATCCACTGATCAGTCATGTATGTATGTATGTGTGAATGTCCATCCACTGATCAGTCATGTATGTGTGAATGTCCATCCACTGATCAGTCATCTATGTATGTATGTGTGAATGTCCATCCACTGATCAGTCATGTATGTGTGTATGTCCATCCACTGATCAGTCATGCATGTATGTGTGTATGTATATCCATCCATGCAGTCTGCACAAATGTAGCGTACCTGCATCAGTGACAAGGCACACTGGAAACCTTAAAACTGCAAGACCAAAATACAAACTGAGTATCTCAAACATGTTGTTTTAATTGATATCACAATAAATACAGTCACTGGATCAAAGCAATGTTTCCCCACTGTGAATCTGAACAAAGAAGACACAAAACAAAATACTGCACAATACACTGCCTGGCATATTTCACTGTATCTCATCAGGTGAAGACAGAAAGACATGGTTGTGAACCTGAGTTTGCCCTGTAAAACAGCAGTTACTGTTGAATGTAGCTGATATTGTCTTAGTTGAAAAGGATTCATTTATTTGCTTCATTTTAACTAATTTGTGCTGTAGCATGCACTGCTAGGCAAAAAATTATAGTCTGTTGTTTGTGTCTTCTTTGTTCAAATAGTCATAAGAAACACAGATCAAAGTAAATAATCAATGTCATGTGAATCAAGAGTTAACAACTTCATACTCATCACATGTCAAGCCAATCTCACACAATCAATGAAGTCTTGTTTATATGAGACAGGTTGTGTGTTTTTCTGCTTTCATTTTGCTCTTCATAATCATCACATGTCAAGCCAATAAGAATAGAACAGTCTCCATCTCATACAATCAATGAAGTCTTGTTCATATGAGACAGGTTGTGTGCTTTTCTCCTTTCATTTTGCTCTTTTCTGACAAAGTTTGCTTTTTGTCACTAAGCTGTTATGTTGATTTTTCTAATCAATTATGCTTTTCATTTCTTTTTTTAGTCAGAAAATGTTCTTGGTCAGAAATTGGTGACCACGGAAATGAGCTGTCTGAGAAGGGCTGTAAAAGTGACTAGAATAGATTAAAGCAGAAGTGAGGTCATAAGAGAAAAGCTGGCACAGAATCACTTCTAAATTACATACAAAGACAACAAATAAGATGGTTTGCCTACTTAGAAAGAATGCCCTGTGACGCCATACCAAATAAAAAACATACATACAAGGCATACATCAAAAGAGGAGAAGGACACAGAGCACAAGATGAAAAGACAACATCAGATAAACTCTACAACAGCACTGTGTGTCTAAAGTTGAGGCAGCCAGAACAACAAGAAGCAGAATCTTATATCTCCCTCGACACCTGAAGCAGTTAAGAGGAAGTAAATAAGATCTCTTTGTTGAAGGTTTGCCTCATTTGTTTTCCCGTCTGTCCAGGTTTTTTTTTACATTTTCCCTAGAGACTCTATTTTCCTTTAGATGTTTCTCGGCTTATCTACCTGCTGCCCATGATTAATCTGCATAAGATTTATCAGCTGAATATAGCAATTCTACAAGTTTCTACCTCTGACAGGTAGTTTCAGATTGTTCAGAGATCTTGTTTACCTTTAACGAGCCAGTGTTTTCATTTAAATAATGCACACACAGATAATACATTGAACAATTTATTGCCCGGCATATTTAGCTGTATCTCATCTGGTGCATTACTACTGAATTAAATCAACATATAATGAAGCATAAAAATAAATCCTTTTTGCTGAAGCTTACACTGCTAAGTTTGACTACATCTCTCTACTGGAAATTCAAGATCAGCCATTACCCTGGTAACTTTAAATTTATTACATTAAAAAAAAAAAAACTATAAAACACCAGAGTTCTGAACTCTGACATTACTCCGTGAAGCTAATATCACGTAACATCAGATATTTATGTGAAACTAACATCACATAACATCAGATATTTATATGAAACTAACATCACATCCAGCATTCGCACAGTAAAACTTACATCATATAACATCAGCCAAGTAAAATATGTAACATCAGGTAACATTTACTTTCCAGTCGATAAAACAAACATGTAATTTCTATCCTGTAAACATATGATAACCACTTAGTGTCTGACACACCATCCCTACATGATATCAGACAGCCCTGCCATGTCCTGTACTGTCATTACTTGAAATCACTTTAACAACAACTATATGAAACTTGCTGTCCTCAGCACCAAACTGTCATGAAGTACATCACTGCTGCCATCTTGAATCAACCACTAAACCCATCAGAAATGGGGAAACCTGGATAAAAATGCACACATGGAACAGGCTTTTACTTGCAGAAATCTCGTTTGTAATAAGATCAACATGGCTATACCTGCATGTACACATTAAACAGGCTCTTATTTGCATAAATGTTGTTTGTAATAAGATCAACATGACTATAGTTTAGTTAGTGTTTATCGACAGATCAACATTATGGCACACACAGGTGTTAACCCCGTTTACTTTTAACTCAAGTCTGAAGAATCTCAGCACAGTGAATGAACCCCACTGCACCGGCGAGGATCCTAAAATACTTTGGGTAAATTTTTAACTCCAAAATTTGTCTGGGCAGCCAGATCCTTTGAGTGTTAAGTGTCAGCTAGATCCTCTGAGTGTGAGCCAGATCCCCTGAGTGTGAGCCAGATCCCCTGAGTGTGAGCCAGATCCCCTGAGTGTGAGCCAGATTCCCTGAGTGTTGAGTGTCAGCCAGATTCCCTTAGTGTTGATGTCAGCCAGATCCCTGAGTGTCAGCCAGATCCCCTGAGTGTTGAGTGTCAGCCAGATCCCTGAGTGTCAGCCAGATCCCCTGAGTGTTGAGTGTCAGCCAGATCCCCTGTTGAGTGTCAGCCAGATTCCCTGAGTGTTTAGTGTCAGCCAGATCCCTGAGTGTCAGCCAGATCCCCTGAGTGTTGAGTGTCAGCCAGATCCCCTGAGTGTTGAGTGTCAGCCAGATCCCCTGTTGAGTGTCAGCCAGATTCCCTGAGTGTCAGCCAGATCTCTGAGTGTCAACCAGATTCCCTGAGTGTTGAGTGTCAGCCAGATTCCCTGAGTGTTGAGTGTCAGCCAGATTCCCTGTTGAGTGTCAGCCAGATCCCTGAGTGTCAACCAGATTCCCTGTTGAGTGTCAGCCAGATCCCTGAGTGTCAACCAGATTCCCTGAGTGTCAGCCAGATCTCTGAGTGTCAACCAGATTCCCTGAGTGTTGAGTGTCAGCCAGATTCCCTGTTGAGTGTCAGCCAGATCCCTGAGTGTCAACCAGATTCCCTGAGTGTTGAGTGTCAGCCAGATTCCCTGTTGAGTGTCAGCCAGATTCCCTGAGTGTTGAGTGTCAGCCAGATCCCCTGAGTGTTGAGTGTCAGCCAGATCCCCTGAGTGTTGAGTGTCAGCCAGATTCCCTGTTGAGTATCAGCCAGATCCCCTGAGTGTCAGCCAGATCCCCTGAGTGTCAGCCAGATCCCCTGAGTGTCAGCCAGATCCCCTGTTGAGTGTCAGCCAAATCCCCTGAGTGTCAGCCAGATTCCCTGAGTGTCAGCCAGATCTCTGAGTGTCATCAAGTACCCCTGAGTGTCAGTCAGAACCCCTGAGTGTAAGTCAGAACCCCTGAGTGTCAGCCAGATCCCCTGAGTGTTGAGTGTCAGCCAGATTCCCTTAGTGTTGATGTCAGCCAGATCCCTGAGTGTCAGCCAGATCCCCTGAGTGTTGAGTGTCAGTCAGATCAACTGAGTGTTGAGTGTCAGCCAGATCCCCTGAGTGTTGAGTGTCAGCCAGATTCCCTGAGTGTTGAGTGTCAGCCAGATTCCCTGAGTGTTGAGTGTCAGCCAGATTCCCTGAGTGTTGAGTGTCAGCCAGATTCCCTGAGTGTTGAGTGTCAGCCAGATTCCCTGAGTGTTGAGTGTCAGCCAGATCCCTGAGTGTCAGCCAGAACCCATGAGTGTCAGTCAGATTCCCTGTTGTGTGTCAGCAAGATCTCTGAGTGTCATCAAGTACCCCTGAGTGTCAGTCAGAACCCCTGAGAGTCAGCCAGATTCCCTGAGTGTCTGATCCCCTGAGTCTCAGCCAGATCCTCTGCAAGCCCTGATAAAATATTCAAAGGATACGGGGACCTCTGAAATTATGTTTGCCACTGTGCACGAAGCTTTATCTTGATAGCTTCAGTGTAGTGACTAGATGCTGAATAACTAAAATTTAAAAAGCTGCATCAGGAAGACATCCCCCCGGTGTATTCAAGTTCACTGATGATGATTAACCCAGGAGTGTTCTGTTGAACTCTAATAGTCAGTATAGCAGATATGGTAATGTCTGTGACAAAATGTATCACCAGTCTTTCCTCTACAGCGACTTTTTTTTTTTCAGCAGTCAACTTTTGCTATGCATCAATTCCAGCATGGATTACAAACAGGATGGTGCGACTGAAGTCTTCACTGGTGGTCTATTTGTCTTGCAGGGTAGTCTTATTTGTTAGATTTCTTCCCTCTAACTGGAACTGTCTGGGCAGTCTTGTAAGACATGCTGTGGAGTGTGCTCTGATGCAACTACTAGGTCTGATATTTGTTTTTATTATGAGAAGGTTATCACTTGGTTTCCACCAGCCACTACTAGGTTTGCAATGTTTTATGAGTAAAGTATTACCTGGTTTAAACCATCTACTACTAAGTCTATCATGTTTTATAAATAAAGTATTACCTGGTTTCAACCATCTACTACTAAGTCTGTCATGTTTTATAAATAAAGTATTACCTGGTTTAAACCATCTACTACAAGTCCGTCATGTTTTATAAGTAAAGCATTACCTGGTTTCAACCATCTACTACTAAGTCTGTCATGTTTTATGACAAACTGCCACTACCTGGTTTACACTATCTACTACTAGGTATGTCATGTTTTTTGAGTAAAGTATTACCTGATTTCCACCATCCTCTGCTAAGTCCGTTATATTTTATAACTAAAGTAAAAACTTTGGTTTCCACTATCTACTCTAAATCTGTCATGGTTTATGAGTAAAGTTTTACCTGGTATCCATTATCTACTACTAAGTCTGACATGTCTTGTGACACAATGTATTAATCACTTTACTTCTATTCACTACTACATCTAACAAGTAATTTCTATCCATTACTATATCTGACATTTTTATATAATAACTGATTCTCTTCTCTTAGTCTATTACCCTGGCATTTTTCTGTGTGTTTTATGACAAAATGTATCACCCAGACTTTCCTCTTCACTTCTATCAAATGTCACCCAGATTTTTCTCTTCACTTCTATCAAATGTCACCCAGACTTTTCTCTTCACTTTTATCAAATGTCACCCAGACTTTTCTCTTCACTTCTATCAAACGTCACCCAGACTTTTCTCTTCTCTTTTATCAAATGTCACCCAGACTTTTCTCTTCTCTTTTATCAAATGTCACCCAGACTTTTCTCTTCACTTCTATCAAACGTCACCCAGACTTTTCTCTTCACTTCTATCAAATGTCACCCAGACTTTTCCCTTTACTTCTATTAAATGTCACCCTCTCTTATCTCCTCTCTTTTATCAAATGTCACTCAGACTTTTCTCTTCACTTCTATCAAATGTCACCCAGACTTTTCCCTTTACTTTTATCAAATGTCACCCAGACTTTTCTCTTCACTTCTATCAAATGTCACCCAGACTTGTCCCTTTACTTCTATCAAATGTCACCCTCTCTTATCTCCTCTCTTTTATCAAATGTCACCCAGACTTTTCTCTTCACTTCTATCAAATGTCACCCAGACTTTTCTCTTCACTTCTATCAAATGTCACTCAGACTTTTCTCTTCACTTCTATCAAATGTCACTCAGACTTTTCTCTTCACTTCTATCAAATGTCACCCTCTCTTATCTCCTCTCTTTTATCAAATGTCACTCAGACTTTTCTCTTCACTTCTATCAAATGTCACCCTCTCTTATCTCCTCTCTTTTATCAAATGTCACCCAGACTTTTCTCTTCACTTCTATCAAATGTCACCCAGACTTTTCCCTTCACTTCTATCAAACGTCACCCAGACTTTTCTCTTCACTTCTATCAAACGTCACCCAGACTTTTCTCTTCACTTCTATAAAATGTTACCCAGACTTTTCTCTTTACTTCTATCAAACGTCACCCAGACTTTTCTTTTCATTTCTATCAATGTCCCTGTAAAAACAATCTAATTACAATCACACTTTCTGTAATAATCAAGAATCAGAAAACCAAAGAATGAACCTGTAATACTCTGAAAGCGCATCGTCTCTTGGCAGGTGTAGCTCCATACATAGTTAGGGCGGCCCACAATTTGTCTGAATATCTGTAAGTTTGAACATTAAACACAAGAAATTATTTCAGAAAAATGTAACTCACTTGCCCTCGACCTTTCCCTCCAGTATGGTTTTTTAAAACGAATTGTGTCTTTTAATGTTGCCAAAATACTTCAACTGAATTCTCATCTTTTATTTATTTCAGTAATCTTCTTTTCATTCAGTCTTTCCAGAACCTCTGTTTTTGATCGTCTTGGCTTCCATGAATAAACACCTGTTCTTCTGTATATCCACATTGCTAGAGACGATTTATTTATTGATTGTACATGAAAGCTGTCGTGGCCTAGAGGCTAGACGCTCGCCTGCGGATCAGAAGGTAGTGGGTTCGGTTCCTGACAGGGGCGGCACTTTTTCAAAAATGACCTTGACTCCCAGGTCAACCCAGCCTTGAGTGAGTACTAGGTACAGTCCTGGTACGGTGACCAGTGTGATGCTGACCACATAACCCAGTAAGTGCCATTTGGTCTACAAAATATAAGTCTAGCCCTATATACCCAATATGCTTAAAGGCGTGGAAAAGGGTCCTTTACTTATTGGTTTTACATATCAAAACAAATGTGGACATTACCAACAAGAATACTTTTTTATATCAATTTTACATTGAGAAACACATTGGAGACGACAAGCAAGTATAGTTTTTCTTACACTTTTTTACTTTGTAAAATGTTCAAAACAATGTTTTCCCGTAATGAATTTAAATAATCCGGATACAAACAATACATTGCACAATTTATTGCCAGGCATATTTTGCTGTATCTCATCAGGTGCGTTACTACAGAGTTACATCATCATAAAATAAAGCACAAAACTGAATAAATTCAACTGAAATGCGAATAGTTTCTTCGATACATTTTTTATCTTTCATGGCTGCCGGAAGCTCGCCAAAGTCACTGACTACCAGGTTAACTTCAAATGTACGATAAAATCCGTCTGCTTGTAAAATGTGTCTGTCTGTACATTATTACCATGAAGACATTTTACATTGGAGACTTTGTAAAGTACAGGACTCTTTTCCATGCCTTCAAGCGTATTGAGCAAGACCTAAATTTTGTAGCCCAAATGGCACCTGGTGGGTGATCTGGTAAGTATTAGGTCAGCCGTCTTTACTTCCCAGGAATGTACCTGGCACCCACTCAAGGCTGGGTCAAATTTCGAGCCACGGTCATTTTTTTGACAAATGTCTGGCTCAGTCAGCACCCAGATCCACGACTTTCCGATCCGCAGATAAGCATTTAGCTAACACACCATGGTGGCTCCCATGCAAACTATGTCAGTTTGTAGTAAATTACAAGCATGAATATATTGCATCTCGCCTTTTAGGGCAGAGAAATAAGTCCCTTACGGCATGACCATCATGACGCAGCAGGTCCTTTGGAGAATATCATTCTAGCTACAAATCCTTACATGCTTCACCAGGGCTGGAAACAAAAAAAGGTGCCAGTACTCACCACAAAGTGCCTATAACAGGTGCCGGTGTAACCCTAACGCATTTGTTACAGAAATTAAAGGACCCCCTTTCCACGCCTACAGGCGTATTGAGCATCTGGGACCAGACCTATATTTTATAGATCCTTTGGCACTTGGTAGGTAATGTGGTCAGCATCATGCCAGCCGCCTTTACTTCCCAGGACGCCACCTGGTACCCACTCAAGTAAAGTACCGCCAGGGCCTGAACCCACAACCTTCAGATTCACAGGCGAGCATCTAGCTGCTCCATCACAGCGGTTCCCCATCTGTTACAGTAGTGCTTAAAAAAGGAATGTACTTCAAAATTGGCTAAAACTTGTGGCTCCCTCTTGTTTTCAAAAGTCTGCCACAGACCCAATACATTTTTAACAGACACACTGAAGAAACTTCATATCTTATAAATATTAGAATTGCAAAAATGATTGCACTGTTTTGGTATGTTATGTTTTCACAATCAATGTCTTTACACACTGCGCATTCCCATGAGTGCTCAGTCGTCCACTGTCGCAACCTCTCCAAGGTACCTATACTGACTGTTTCCATGACAAGTTGGTTGTTGTATCTCATGTCTAAAGCTAGGGGACTTTTTTTTAAAATTATATCAAGACCCCACCCCCCCCCCCCTTTTCAATTAGTTCTGTGGACCATAAAATTATAAAAACTGTTCTAGGTAGGTCATATCTGACCAACTAATACACAAAGTCACGACAGTAGCCTCACCCTCTTGGTAGTCTTAGTAGGGCTACTCCATTACTGGATAGCTTGAGCAGATCAACTGTGTAGCTAGCACCAATCTGTAACATTGATATACATATCAATATATCTGTTCGAGCATATAAACTGCACAACAATACAGTTGCAGATGCAACTACTAATTTGTTGTAACTGATGTTTCTAGTATCTGTTAAGACTGTTAAGTTGAGTTGATTTGAGTCAAGAAGAGACATCAAAGCACTTGGGGCATTCCCATGTGTGCTCCGTCATCATCTTCAGCAGCCAGCACAGAGTTCCAATACTGATGGTACCGGTCACAATCTAGTTATATGTCCGTCTTGCCTTTCCTCTGAGTGAAGCGAGCCGGCTAGACCTTCTGCTTACACCCAGGTGCCTCATTCTCTCCAGGCCATAATAGTCTTCTATCTCTACTGATTCCGTTACTTGTTCCCAAAGGGCCTTGACCACATCTGCCTTGTCATTTATAAATCCATCACCCAGTGGTGCCGATCCAGCTAATTTGTCTGCCTGTTCTTTACCCACTACGCCGGCATGGCCTTAAGAAAAGATCCAAAATATGCTCACTACCCGTGACCTTCACAGTGAAGCTTGCCGCTCTGCTCAAAGCAACCCTGTATTCACCTTTCTCAGCATGCTTTCAGAGTCTGTTACAATTATGACATGTGTATGCATCTTGCTTTATATATTTATAGTATTGGACTGTGCTGGTACTTATGACGGCTGCCTGTACGCTGTTGGATTGGCTAAGACTGCAGTCAGTGTCAATCAATTTTTGTTTCACAGAGGACAGTGATGGACATTCTGTGTAGTCCTTGTTGGCACAGGAAGGGTGCAACTTTGGGGTGACCCATTTGCTATGATGTTGGAACTGGGATCACCTGAATATCAGAAGATGGACAGATCATTTCGGTCTGGAGAGAATGATGCAGTGAGGATCTGGATCTGGATGAAATTCAACACTCTTAGAAGAGGCAAGAAGGATGAACAATCAGACAGCTAAAGTAATACACGAATTTAAACTCTTTGCTGACGGTGGCGGGGAGAAGCAGCTTACTGAATGGTTAGAATGTGTGGCTCTGACATGAGAGACCCGGGTTGCAATTCTCAGTAAGGTTAGGGATTTTCTTTTGTCGGAGAGGGGGTGGAAGTGGAAGGGGAGGGCCAAAAAAAAGCCTTACCTGTCTGTGGTCTTAAATCCTCTGGTTTAAAGATCCCCCTGTCTACACCACAAAAGTGGTAAAATAAAGGCACTAATTGGCAGTGTTTTTTTTTTGGGGGGGGGGGGGGGCTGGCTGCTGAAGATGGGGACAGAGCTGCTGTGTGGGTAGGCATAGGGTACTGTGATGTCAGTTCTTAATGCAACTCATTAACAACATAAACTAAACAAACAAAACACATCATGAACTTTGGTATTTTATAACTAAACAAACAAAACACATCATGAACTTTGGTATTTTATAACTAAACAAACAAAACACATCATGAACTTTGGTATTTTATAGTCAGTCAGCTGCAGACCATGAGATTATGATTTCTTTTTCTGTGTTTGTACATGTGCAAGCAGATACTTGCCTGCCAGCCTGAGGGTCTTGGGTTCAAATCCACACTGGCCTGCTTTTAAAAACATATATATTATATATATATATAAAATCACTAAGTGGATGCGAACACTTCGCTTCGTAATGCCGGGATGCCAGGTTCGATCCCAGCTGCGGGCAATGCGCCTTGCGTTGGTTTCGACAGTGGTATCAAGAAAGCCGACCGTCCAGAAAGCAATGGCAAACTACTGGACGTAAATTTGCCTAGAGAAACCACACAACAGCCAGGGGCTGTTAGGGTTGGTTCTGCAACGTCCTCTAGAGGATACGCAACAACCTTTTTATATAAAATCATGGCTCCCAGGTCAACCCTGCCTAAACTTGGTACCTAGTTAAGTCCTGGGAAGTAAAGGTGGCTGGCGTGATCTTGACGACATCACCCACCAAGTGCTGATTTTTCTGTACAAATATAAATCTAGCATCATATGCCCAGTGCACCACTGGCATGAAAAAAGGTCCCTCGCTTGCGTGTTGCTAAGTCTGTCGTAGCAACTGCAACCTGGTTGCGTGGTACAGCATCCAGTTTTAACATATGGCTGTGAATCCTGGACAATCGGTAGGCAGGCCAAACAATTTCTTGAGGCCTCAGAGATGTGGTTTTACAGAACAATGCTTAAAATACCTTGGACAGCCAAACAAAAAGTAACCAAGAGGTTTTAAAAGAGGCAGGAGCCCGAAGACAACTAATCGCAGACATTAGAAGGAGACAGTCATTATTTTTCGGCCATGTTATGAGAAGAGGAAAAACTGAACATGTGGTGACCACTGGAAAGATCTGTGGAAGGAGGGATAGAGGAAGACATCGAGAGAAGATTCTTGTTGCATGGCATGGATGTGTGTCAGCACACGAACTAATACATGCTGCAGGAGATCGCAGATTGTGGCTAGGCCCACACCAGTCGGCAAGCACCTGATGATGATGATACACTATTCGTATTCGGCCGAACAGTGAAAATTCCTATTCGGTACAGCCCTAATACAAATAATGCACACCTACATCTAATTCTTAATCATAATCACTCTCATTATACCTAAATTTTTCAATAATAATACTAATCATAGTGAGTATAATCAATCTGGCGGCGTCCGTGGCTAAGGCGTTGCGAGTCCGACTCGTGAGCCAGCATACCGCGATCGAAACCTGCGTGGGCTGCGTGGATTTTTATCGTGGTATGGGACGTCGCAGGTCGATCCAGCCTAAAATGGATACCAGGATGGGCTGTCCTGGGAAAGTAAAGACAGCCGGCGTAATGCTGACCACATTACCCACAGAGTGCTGATGGTCTGTAAAAATATGGGACGCTCTGCCCATATGCCCGATGCGCCGAAAGGCGTTAAAAGGGAACTTTACTTTACTTTACTTATAATCAATCTGGGGAAGGGAGCGGGGACGGCGTAATATGTTCAAAACTATTATGTTTTATAGGGCCATTTAGTCTGTACTGAGACAATTTTTAAACAGTTTCAAACATTGTTTGTATAGGGGTAACCAATATTTTTAACTGGTTGTGGAAGTTGGTTCCACAGATGAGCTGGGGAGTACGCCAAGCTTGATTTGTATAAGTCTATCCTAGGTTTTGGGATACGTAGTAGATTTAGGCATTTGCTGTCTTTCACTATATTTAAGCAACAGCCAAAGGTATTCTGGAGAATTTTTTGTATGTGATTTTGTGAATAAATTTTGCCTTCTTGAAAAATAGGCATTTAAGGAGTGGTGATAGCAGAGAAAGAGAGAGAGTGAAAAAAGAAGAGCTTACCTGGCCAAGTGTCTCTTTTAAAGCTTGCATAATTAAATACTTGTACTGTACTGGAGTTAACTGGCCAACATCCTCACCATCTATGGTTCTGAAAATATTCCAGTACTAAACAATAAAGCATGCAGTGTATTTACTCCAGCCCATGCTGTCTGTCATAATAATATTAAACTATTTTACTGTAAGAAAGGTAAACTAGAAATTTTAGAGATTGTAAATTACAGTTGAAATGACAAACTATGCATTATAATTCTTCTTCTTCCCAGTGTGGGTTCTGGGGCCCCATTCTGGGGAAAACAAGAGTAGACCCCCAAGAGGGAAGGGTGTGCAGTAGGTTTGTACTAGTTTCACAAGTTGTGGGGGTGGCATGATCACCCATGCCAGTTGGCAACAGCAACTTATAATGATGATGATTTAGAAACTAGCAAAATACTTACAGTGAAACTTTCATGTACAGATATGGCTGTTTCTTCTCTGAAATAAAACATTTTGTCTTTACGTCTGCATCCACCATCTGCAAATGTCAATGTAAAAAAAAAATTAAACACGTGTTATTACTTTTATGTTGGTTATGGTCTGTCATGGAAGTCTAGAGAGAACAATAATGGAGGGGTATATGCCTGGGAAGAGAGGAAGAGGAAGGCCAAGGAGAAGATGGGTGCAGGATGTGGCAGATGATCTCCAGATGGGTGTATCAGACGCAGGACATCTTGCTCAGGATAGGAAGGTTTTCCGGAGGGTTGTTATGGCAGCGAGGTTCCGCGAGGGACATGCTACTGAATGAATTAATGAATATTACTTTTAATATAAGCACATAATTTTTTATTTTTTTATTTTTGCGATAATAACAACACAAAACCATCTGCTTTTCCCTCCAGGTTGCAGCCTGAATGTTTCATCAATCCTGAAACTTTCAAGAATCTTATCACGGGTGGCAGACCAACAGTGCAAACCCAGACATTTTGTTAAAACCTCTAAACACATTATAATTTGGGCATGAATAACGGCTACATCGGCTTGGTGTAACATGTAGTCCTGTGTAGGTAAGCAGTGTAATATAATGGATTTAAATCTTCTTCTTCTTCTTCAGCATTCTGAGCCCGTGAGGTTCATTGCTGCAGATATCACCCACCTCCATTCATCTCTCTGGTTGGCCTTCTCTTTCCAGTTGGTGACACCAAGTGTTTGCAGGTCTATCTGGATATTATCTCTCCATTGTCTTCTTGGTCTGCCTCGTGGTCTAAGACCATTCATCTCCCTCGTGTATACAGTTTTTACTTCTCTGTCATCTGACATTCTTTCAGTATGTCCAAACCATTTCAGTCTATTAGCTCCCATGATTCCAGTTATCATAGGGGATGTAAACTGATTATGAATTTCATTGTTGCTTCTTACTCTCCGTTCACCGCTGTTTTCATCTTTGATGGGTCCAAATACTCTGTTTTCAAAAACCTGTAATAAGGCTTCATCTCTTTTAGTGGTGCTCTAAGTTTCAGAGCCATATAGAACTAATGGGTTTAATTACAGACAGAAAATACAGTCAATAGTTCTTCTCATCCTATGTACTTTTAGATCTGTTTTATAAATCAGTCTAAAGTAGTTATAGGCCAGTTTTCTTCACAGGCATATGATGTTAGCTCAGATTTTTACAGTCAGCAGTCGGTGGGTGTGATATAGTCACTTGCCATCTTTACTCAATTGCTGACTTCCTCCGACGAACACATCACGGCAAAACTAGGATTACTGTCCGTTGACAATTTCGAGAAACAAATCAATACACACGATAATAGTGACATGGCGGGGAGACCACATGCTCTGACGCAGGTTAGCGATAGTGTTCTTCCGATTAAACTCACCACCAAGCGTATCCCCTGCGCCGCTACGCGCTGCACAGATGAGTGGCTAAACTAGATTGCTGGGACTTATGAGCAGCAGCTACCGCATCTCCTGCAACTTCCTCCAATTTATTTGCTTGTGAGTCCCAGCCATCTAGTTTAGCCCTCTATCCGCGCCGCGCGTAGCGGCTCGGGAGATACTCTCGGCGGTAAAAATACCAATGCGGCACCGATCATATTTAGCCGAGTTTCAATGCCACCACAGCCACAAAGAGCAGATTTTTGGGCACTATTTGCAACTTCTGTGCCACTATTTTCAGATATAAAGACCTTAATTATAGCTAAGTAGTCGATTTCACCATTTTCCCTTTTTTCATTCATTATTTTCGAGTTCAAGTTTTTGAATGTTTACAGCACACGACCTAATGAGGCTCTGTCAGGGTGTGTTTTGGGCCGCCATAATATGTGGCCTTTATTTGGAGGATAGTCATAAAGTCTTTAAAAAAGTGATGGTACTGCCAACAATTTATCACTGAAATGTCGAAGTTCATACATAAGAGATAGCATTGCAGATTGAGATAAAGATTATTTTTTTAAGCTAGTGAAAGAAGAAGTAGTGTTGACAAAAAATATAATTAATTACTAAAAAAAAAGCCTTGGTTAGGTTGCGGTTGTATTTACTTCTATCTCAATCTCAACTTAAACTAAGTAAAAGTAAGTAGTCTAGACTAGACTCACGTTGAGATGAGTGAGACTGACTGCGTCTCTGAGGTTTTGAGTTCTACGACCAATGATGTAAGGGCAAGAGTGTGGGATTAATGTCCGCGGAAAAATGACGATGTGAGTGAGGTATGAAGCTCGGGTCTAGATGTGATGTCTAAAATGTAGATCTAGGCGTGTATGATTGTGTACATGCGAAACCTGAATATGAGGAACGAGATCCTCCAACAGTGTAAACATGAGTTATATTTGTGTTCCTCGAGAGCTGAAGAATTACACTTTTGACCGGGACTGCTAATTTAGCTATTTCTAGCAACATTTAGTAGCCACGGGAATTTCATGTTTGGGGGACGTTAAAAATATAGAACCAAAAAATTATATCTTGTTTTGTGCACTTCTTCGCCCGCTTTAAACTGCTGTTTATCAATTTTGATGTTGTGGTACTATTCCTCAAATAATTTCAGTAGCCCTAAACTTGTTAAGAGCAGTGACCCGGAAGTCGATGTGACGTCGCTCAGGGTCAGGGCGGGTAGCTTGTTATTCCTCATTTGCCGCAGAGCTATTTGTCCACCATTAGGCTAATGATTAGCTGCTTGAACTGTTAAAGACTCTCTGACGGGACATTGAAGTCTTGAATGTCAGCATTAGGTAAGTTTATGTCGTTGCTGTCATTAGTCATATCTATCAGAACTCAAATGAAAACTGTACATCCCAATTTTAATCTTAAAGGTTCAACAGGAAATTTTTGAAATATAACTTTTACTTAGTGTAGTGAGCAGTAATCGCTTGGTTGTAATGACACATGAATATGATCTAAATATTCTTAGTACAATCTCTCTTAACCACAGACCAAAAGGATTCTATCACAGCAATATTGGAAACAGTACAGATTAACAATTTTCTTTAAAAGTCCCATGATATATAAAATATGAAATATAATAATATATTACTAAGATAATTCGATTATTACTTGATATCCCACTTATAACCTTGAAGGTTAAAAACTTGCAAACAACAACACAATGTAAATATCCCACTTATAACCTTGAAGGTTAAACACTTGCAACCAACAACACAATGTAGATATCCCACTTATAACCTTGAAGGTTAAACACTTGCAAACAACAACACAATGTAGATATCCCACTTATAACCTTGAAGGTTAAACACTTGCAAACAACAACACAATGTAGATATCCCACTTATAACCTTGAAGGTTAAAAACTTGCAACCAACAACACAATGTAGATATCCCACTTATAACCTTGAAGGTTAAACACTTGCAAACAACAACACAATGTAGATATCCCACTTATAACCTTGAAGGTTAAACACTTGCAAACAACAACACAATGTAGATATCCCACTTATAACCTTGAAGGTTAAACACTTGCAACCAACAACACAATGTAGATATCCCACTTATAACCTTGAAGGTTAAACACTTGCAACCAACACAATGTAGATATCCCACTTATAACCTTGAAGGTTAAACACTTGCAAACAACAACACAATGTAGATATCCCACTTATAACCTTGAAGGTTAAACACTTGCAAACAACAACACAATGTAGATATCCCACTTATAACCTTGAAGGTTAAACACTTGCAAACAACAACACAATGTAGATATCCCACTTATAACCTTGAAGGTTAAACACTTGCAAACAACAACACAATGTAGATATCCCACTTATAACCTTGAAGGTTAAACACTTGCAAACAACAACACAATGTAGATATCCCACTTATAACCTTGAAGGTTAAACACTTGCAAACAACAACACAATGTAGATATCCCACTTATAACCTTGAAGGTTAAACACTTGCAAACAACAACACAATGTAGATATCCCACTTATAACCTTGAAGGTTAAACACTTGCAAACAACAACACAATGTAGATATCCCACTTATAACCTTGAAGGTTAAACACTTGCAAACAACAACACAAGGTAGATATCCCACTTATAACCTTGAAGGTAAACACTTGCAAACAACAACACAATGTAGATATCCCACTTATAACCTTGAAGGTTAAACACTTGCAAACAGCAACACAATGTAGATATCCCACTTATAACCTTGAAGGTTAAACACTTGCAAACAACAACACAATGTAGATATCCCACTTATAACCTTGAAGGTTAAACACTTGCAAACAACAACACAATGTAGATATCCCACTTATAATCTTGAAGGTTCAACTCTTGCAAACAACAACACAATGTAGATATCCCACTTATAACCTTGAAGGTTAAACACTTGCAAACAACAACACAATGTAGATATCCCACTTATAACCTTGAAGGTTAAACACTTGCAAACAACAACACAATGTAGATATCCCACTTATAACCTTGAAGGTTAAACACCTGCAAACAACAACACAATGTAGATATCCCACTTATAACCTTGAAGGTTAAACACTTGCAAACAACAACACAATTTAGATATCCCACTTATAACCTTGAAGGTTAAACACTTGCAAACAACAACACAATGTAGATATCCCACTTATAACCTTGAAGGTTAAACACTTGCAAACAACAACACAATGTAGATATCCCACTTATAACCTTGAAGGTTAAACACTTGCAAACAACAACACAATGTAGATATCCCACTTATAACCTTGAAGGTTAAACACTTGCAAACAACACAATATGCCAACTGCCAGTTTACAAGTAAATGCTAAAGAGTAAGAAGAGTTAACGGTTTAAAAATAACTAAAGTGACCAGTGTTCACCATGGTTATGTTATAGCAATATCTTTGCACATTGGGCATCCCTATACATGCTCAGTCTTCCGATGCAGCAGTCAATCCGAAGTACCTCTACTGATTGATCCCATGAGGAGTTAATTGTATTATCTCCTATCTTTACCTTGAAGACAGCATAGATATGCTTCACCAGGCTTAACATCCTCGGTCATGCAGTCATGTTAGCATAAGAGATT